TTTCATGGCATTATTCGGTTTTAAGGGAGGTGTGGAAAGGAAAGAAGGTGGTCAATTTCAAAGGTGCCAATTATCGAGGTGGCTGGAAAAGGGGAATGGAAAGAGGCGGAGGTGGTAGCTGATGGCTTGGAGGGCGGTGAAAGGGGTGGTAGTTGGGAGTTGACTGGAATTAAAGGGAAGAAAAGCAAAAAAAAAAAAAAGAAAACGAAAAAGAAAAAGCTATTTAACAAGTAATCGTTCACTTGGGCTTGATAAAAGTCAATACCCCTTGAAGTTGGGATTATTCCAAAATAATCGAAGTTGAGATTATAGAATTGTCAAAGGTAGGATTGTTTACAAAAAATTGACCAAATATGAGATTATTAAAGCCTTTTTTTTAAGAGGAGAAAAAAAAAAGGAATTACTACACTTCATTATTTTATTCTCAATCACGTATTGTCTTGGTTGAGTTGAGAAATAATTATTAAGAAATGATTTTAAGGTGTTTATGCACTAAAGTTGTATATGATAGTACTAGTTGTGCACACCCAGGCCCGTAGAACAGGGTGTGCAAGGTGCCCTCTTGCACAAGGCCTCCAATTTCGAGAGGGTCCATTTTTATAAAAAAATAAATAAATGTATTGAGGCTATTAACAGTGTAGTCTTCTTGTTCATAACGCCTTCAAGTATTCAATGCAGCAAGTCAGCTATTTTTTACCTCAAAAATATTTTCCTCCCTTCATTCAAGCTTCATACAATTACGGCTATAATTATAGCTTTCCAAAATCTTTCACCAATTTAAATAAGTATATTTTAATTAAATCAATTCAATTTCATGAAAAATAATTTCTCCATTCAAGGATTTTCAATGGAAAAAAAATTATATAATCAGTCAAATTCAAACGTTTTTTCTTCCATAACTTTGGCAATGAACTATTAATTTTGATTTTCCATAATAATTCATATCAAAAGGTTAATTATTGTTCCTTTTCTATATAAGGAGTATGAGTGATTTCAGTGTCCTTCTTTGGCCATCCATTAAAGGTGAAATTTATATTTATATTTTGTTTTTATAATTTTTCTAATTTTTCTACGGCCATGTATAAATTGTACGAATGCAATTATGCAATATCTAATCATTCCTATTATTTCATAGTTGGATGAATTTTTTCAATTTTGCAACTTGTATATATGTTAGAAATTAGAATCTAATTGGTTGTTTTTTTTTTTGCTTTGGGTTAGAATGTTAGATTGTTAATTTGTTATAATCTTGGTTGTTTCTACGGCCTATAATTGTATATGTGACACTATTATGATAATAATGATGTTATATTTAGTTGCTATTATAAATAATTCAACATGAATGAAATATTCGAATTTGATTTTGCGCAATTGAATACATCATTGTTATACGAAAGCCTTTTTCATTTTGTAATATATATAGGGAATTTGTGCATTGCCTAAATTAATTTTTTTGAAAAAATAGTATAATTTTTCCTATATTAAGGGCCCCTTTTTCGATTTAGAACAGGGCCTCCAAAATCTTTGCTACGTCTCTGTGCACACTCTAAGGATGAAAGTAAAATTAAATTAACACAGTAAATAATATTCTTGATCACTAATTAATAAAGAAATAAAAAGAAGTGTTGAGTTAATTATATGTAGTATAATTTATTTTTATTGTGTGAGTCATCATTGTTATAAGTAAATTCATATATCTCGTAAATTGTATGGAAGATTTACATTGAATATATAATCTATTGGGGGGGGGGGGTTTATGGTTTTATTATAACAATGATTCCTAATGTGGTACATGACGTAGTACTATCTTTATTACCATTATGAGATAGAATTTCGTTACTAGGGATGGCAATGGGGCGGGGCGGGTCGGATGCGGATGATGGTACCTCCATATCCATACCCGCCTAAAAATCTTATACCCATTCCCGCCCCACCACCCGTGGCGGGTACAATATCCACATCCATACCCGCCCCACCGGGTACAAGATATGATCCATCCCCGCCGCATCACCCACTTGGATATTCATACCCACCTCATACCCGCCCCAAAATCGTCTCAAACCCTTCGCCATGATGCTGTATTGTATCACATTAATGACTATTATATCAAATTAGGTTAAGAAAATTGTGACTTTCACTTTTCAAGCTTATTGGGTCTTATGGGGTATCAAGTTTCATAAATTCTCAACTCTTCTAAAAGAAATATGGTGCAAGTATAAGGTGGGGGCGGGGCGGGGCGGATATGGGGCGGGTCTACTCTAAAATCCATACCCGCCCCATCACCCATGGCGGGTACACATTTTATACCCATCCCCACCCCATCACCCGCCAAACCTCCCTCCATCCCCGCCCCACTTGGACGGGGATGGGGCGGGTCTTCCATTTAACCCAACCCACTGCCATCCCTATTCGTTACTACATAAGTGGCATATATAGGTTATGATACAAGTCCGACTTGCTCCCAAGATAGGTCTAGAAAAGGTGGAAACTCGTTCATTTTGTAACACAAAATACTTTTTATTGAAAATTAAGTCAAATGACTGAGTGAGTCAATTGAGTGTTGATCAAGTTTCATTATTGTAGGACAATTATTATTTATTCTTTTTATTATTTGTACCCAGGGTGAAACATGTTAGTGTGCTTATTTCTTATTAGTGTGTATGTACTTAGCTTTGTTGATCGATACTTTATTTGAGTTTATGTGTAGCCTTGTTTTATTTATTTTGACCTTGTAATCATTTTAATGTTTCATTTTAGTTCACCCTCTGTGTTTGTAATAGATATTTTATTATACCGCACAATCATTTTATAAATGAATAAGGATGGAGCAGATGAGTAGAGCCAATATAGGTTCAATAGATATGGGTATGGGTGAATCCAACCTTCACAACTTCTATAAACACGCAGCAAAAACACGAAAAATACTTTTATTATTTCACCTCTAAAATTTGACGCGTGCTAATCTTGAGAGGCGACCTCTTCATGTCTACTACTGCATCGAGATAGAGAAGAATCATCTTATACAATAGTGGTTCACTACGTTTCGGCAATTGTCATTTTGTTCTTTCTAACATGGATTTATAATTTTTTTGCTTATATTAACATTGAAACTTGTATGAGGTAATGAGACATATTAATGATCAAAACTAAGATGAGGTGTTCCAAGAACCCCAAAACAATAAGAAAAGGTATTTCGTCAGTCCAACGGATTTTTAATATTCTCTATTGGTTGGATGATATCTTATCCTTTATTGGCTAGATGATATCCTCTATTGGTTGGACGATATTCTTTATAGGCTGGATGATATCCTCTATTGGCTATGTAAAGGATATCAGTATAGACACAATCATAACTGATATCATCAGCCATGATTTCATCCAGCCAACCAGTAGAGGATATCATCCAGGCAGTAGAGGATATATATACAAATTATTTAATGGAAGATATGTATAACTTGTTTGAGGATATGTATAATTTGTTTGATGATACGTATAACAATGGCGAAACCTCCATTGAAGAGCTCGTACTAAAGGTCATAGGTATAACATAACTTGCTCATTTCTCAACCAAAATACATGCATCTGTTATCAAAATGCTCATAATTCAACATACAATCATATGAAACAATCAATTTCAACAATTATACACAACATGAGAAAGCCCCAATATGATTTTTTGGGCATTTTTCGAAAAATCCAAGAATCTCAAGCAATTATCAAACAATTCAAGCATAAATTATGGACAAATATAATCAACAATCTTTATTTTTTTCTCCTCTCCATCCTCTTCAATTCTCTTAAACGTCATCTCTCTTCTGTCATGAATGACCTCACTTCTCTCTTTCATCGTAACCACCACCACTTTGTCACCGGGTGGAAACTTATTGTTCATCGCAAGAAGATGACGATGATGTATTGCTAATATATTTAGGATTTTTAAGATGAGGAGGAGATTGAAAAATCTGTTGTAGTTGTAGCTACCATTGATGGATGATGTTTGGTGGAGACAGAGGAATATATGATGAAAAAATGGCACGCAGGAAACATTGCCGCACCCAACACTTTGTGAAACAATAAAATCAAGGAAGGTATAAGCTTTTTAGAACAAAGGCAAGTTGATATGATACTAGTGACATTGGTATATGAAATTATGGAGCTTTCTAAGGAATAACATGGTTTATGTTAATCCTAAATGAAGTTTTTCATGTGGCTTTAATTAAGTGTAATTGTGAATGGGGCTTGCATGATAGATTCATTAATTCATTGTCTCAAAAAAAAAAAAAAAAAAAAAATCAACGAATAGGCTTGCTTGTTACTTGTTAGTCTTACATTAATTTTTTTTTTGACAAAAAAGTAATTAAAAATATCAATTCGACGGAATTATTTTCAATATGTGATGATGTTTGACTGCTAACAACAAAAACAATTAAAACAAATGAATTTGGCCAGCAAATAAAAAGCGTTTCTTTATTCCATCTCACATTTTCACTAACTATATTATAAGCTTAGCTTTAAACATCCCCTAAAGATTGCCAAAAGATTTAGATCATCTTTCTTCATGTTTTATGTTTGAAATCTGGAATTTTATCTATCAATCAAACATTTACTCCCTCTGTTACATACTTACATATTATTCGCAATAAAAGAGTATTATTTGTGAGACATAAAATATTCCTTTGTCACGAGATTTTGCAATGGAGGGAGTATATGTTAGTGGTTATATTAAAACTTGACTATGTACAAATCAAACTATTGCATATTAATAATGATATGCTATAATATTATGATCAGAATTATGTTTTTGTAAAAGTGCAAATTAATAAAAACACACACAAAGAATACAATTTTTTTTATATATAGATAATCAACAAAAAATACTCGTATAAACTAAAATAACACGATTAATTGTTCTTAAATCACATAAAAGTCAACTTCGTAACACATGTAGAATTGGAGTTAGCCAAATTGCACTACCATTATTGAACTAATCATGATCTCACCTAAAAATAGTTACTAGGTTCCATCCCAAATCTTTCATTTTCATCTGAAAGACATAAAGAAAATCCACAAATTCATGACTGAAAACAATATGTTAATGGGACCATTACCAACCAACTAAGGTGGCTTCATTACTTTCGGTCAGCCGACTTTTTCCTTAGTCGGCATTTTCCATTCATTTGATCTTTTGACCCCATTTTCATTTTTTTGATTTTCATGGCTTAATTTGATCACTACGTGCAGATCTGTCTTCATTAATTATAACCCTTGATCATATTTTAATTGCATTCTCTCTCTTAAAATCTCAAGACTCAAAAAGTGGCAGCTTTTTTGTTCATCCTCCATTGCACTGAAACTGTTTGATGATTTGCTTCTGAGACAGAGAAAGAGGGTATAAAAACAGAGGATATATGGTTTCTGGGTTTTTGTTTTCTTCACTGAATTTGTAAGAATTTGTTCCTGTTTGTTGTTATTAATTTGCAAATTTGGTAATTTTTCATGGGTTTTGTACTTTTGTTTGGTGGGGTTTAGAATTTGTAGACATATTTGATGATGGATTGGGGATTGTGATTTTATTTCATGTTCTTTCTTTTTTTGGTTGATCATGTTAGAATTTCCCCTGTTCAGATTGATATTTGCATGGATCGTAACTGAGGAAGTTTTGTTGCTTTCTAGATTTTGATCCCACATGGGATTTGTGTTTGATTTACTGTTGCATTGACAATTTGACATCATCTTGCATGAAGGATGTTAATTGGTGATTTATATCTTAGTTTATAACCTATTGTATCTTTTATAGTTTAACCATGATCATGTTGTATTGGAAAGAGACTTTATTAACAGCTAGCTTATAATGATAGTGAGTTTAGGTTTTAAGATTGATGGTTTTATGATCTGATCTCTATTATTGTTTTCTTGGTTGATCAGAACATGTGCTTCAGCTTTCCTCTGGTGTTACTGAATCCAAGTTGGGTCAGTTAGCATGCTTCAGCTATTTTTGTTTATGTCCTGTGTTCTGCATATGATTTTGTAATCTGCTGGGATGGACAGATTATTTCGGCTGTCATCCGAATCACAAAAACACCATAGGTCATTTAGGACGGTATTGGCATCAGCTCTACTTGAATGGGTGCTTATTGTTTTGCTTCTTGTTTATGGGCTATTTGGTTACTTGATCACAAAATTTGCTCGTTATTGCGAACTGCCTCTCCCTTGTTTGCTATGTTCAAGGATTGATCACATTCTTGGAAGTGAAAAGGTTGGATTTTATCGGGATATGATATGTGGAAAACACAAGTTGGAGATCTCATCTATGGTCTACTGTCATTTTCATGAGAAGCTTGTTGATGTTCGTGGGATGTGTGAAAGTTGTCTCTTCTCTTTTGCTACAAAAGATAAATCCAATGCTGAAACATACAGGTTATTAGTTGGTAAGTTGGGAGGAGAAGATCTTAGTGGTGTTGATGATGACTCAGTAATTAATGATCAGAAGACTGAGGGCTTGAACATGAAGCATTGTTGCTGTTGCAATGAGCTGTGGACCTCAAGACATCATGCCCAAACATTGCTTCAGACTAAGTCGCTTGGGTTTGATGACACCGACCCTGACTTGCCTATGAGCAGGGAAATTTGCCAAGATCTTATCAATTTGAAAAAGGAAACTAAGTCACTGCAACCATCTGTTGAGAGTGGAAGAAAAACTGAGGTTTCTTTGGATCAATTTGGATACACAGAGCTGAAAGTCACCTCTGATGCTGAATCAGATATTCAGATGTCTGATGCTGAAGACTCAAGACCATTGATGTCTCATGATCCTTTAAGAGACATCATATTAGATTCTACACCAATTAAAACCTTTGTTTCTGTATCCGAAGATGATCTTGTCTCTGACATGCCAGTTGATCTAAAAATTATATCACCTGAACCCTCAGAAACATTACATCTGGCGCAATCCAACATCATTGATCTCCATGACGACCCATCAGTAGCGCCTGCTTCTGCTATTGGTCACGGATTGGAAGAACTTAATTGGCAAGAGATTCATAGTAATCTTGATACATCTGCATCAACAGATCCAAAACCTTTGAATGATGTGTTGAAGTCACAAAATGATGGAAATGTCTTTATCAGCACTCCAGTAGATGGATGTAAGTGGAGAAGATTTGTTCCTTGTATTTTCCTTAATTATCCCATTTTAAGTTTTAATCTTTATTGCAGTGCTCTATATAATTACCCCCCCTCCCCCTCCTCTGGTGCCTTATTGGTCCTTGTGAAATTTTGATATGAAAGTAATTGGAAAATTAGAAGAGAACTAATACCACTTTGTTAGTTTGTTACTATAGTGTCAGCTCATTGTGATAATGTTCAGTTCATATCGTTAATTCACTTGAAATAAATTTGAATTGATATGTTTCATATGGTTTAATGATTTTTACCATATAATTCTTTCCACCTGTATCAGTTTTAAGCAGAAGATTTTAAATAAACTGACACAGTTTGTTATTATATCAGAGAATAATGAACACGTAATCTGGAAATCTCTGAAGTGAGATATTTTGTGATGGAGGGACTAGGAAGCGTATCTTATTATCTGCTTCTTGCCTTAGGCCTGCAATATATACAGGTGTTCCTGGCATAGTATTAAACCCTGATACCTCTGACTTGCATAAGTGGTGGATTTATATAGCGCAAAGGGTAGACACTTGTATACCCTCTGTACAAATATGTTGATGCATATCTTACTAATGATAAGGCTCTAGCAGTCTAGCTTGCTAGCAATTCCTTTACTCCACACTTAACTTATCTCCGGAAGGTCATGGGGTCTGAGTTCACAATCGACTTAAGTTTTCTGTTATACTTTTCTAATATTTCCCCTTTTTTAATTTCCTCAGTTTTCTAATACCTTTTTTTTCTTTAAAAATGGGTATTACTTATGAGCTATAACATTGTTTTAGTTTCAGAGGGCATTTATTAAAACAAAATTGAACTATAATATTTTTATAATTGTGCTCACCCTATTTGACAATCCTGGATCTGCTACTGCTTGCAGCAAATATTGAAGATGGAATTGTGGAGGAAAAAATGGATGTCAATGACTCAAATGACTTGGAAATTGAAGAATCTGGCAACGCGCAAGCATTGGGACATGAAACTGACAAAATTAAGGAGTTTGAGAGCTTGCAAAGTAATACATGTCTTAATAGCTCAAAGGCGAGGTCTGAACATAAGGATGGTGGCTTGCAAAAGCCTAGTCATTTGGATCTTGGTGATGCATATCAGCTAGCTATCAGCAGCAAGGGTAGGCAGTTGTCTGGTAAGCTGGCCGAGCAGCTGTCTGGAAAGGACTCACCAAGAGTCAGTGCAGATTTAAAAATTTTGCTCTCACAATTGTCTCGAGGATCAGAATTTCTTTACAATGATATATTGAGCCCTGGGGTTTCTAGGAATCTTGATGAGCTCAAGGCTTATGATTCATCTACTTCTGTTGGGATGAAACTTTTGCAAAAGAGGCGCTCACTTGAAAGAAATGATTCTAAGACTTCCCTTGATAGAAATGAATCTGGAGTAGACTCGTTGGACTTTAGTATTGTTAGTGAAATTGAAGGAGAAAGTGAACTTGATCGGTTAAGACGGCAACTTGAGCATGATAGAAAGTTATTGATTGCTTTGCTGAAAGAGTTGGAGGAAGAAAGGAATGCTTCTTCTATCGCTGCAAATGAAACAATGGCAATGATCCAGAGACTACAGGAGGAAAAAGCTGCCTTGCAAATGGAAGCCTCACATGACCTAAGGATGATGGAAGAGCAGGCTGAATATGACATGGAAGCTCTTGATAAGTATAACGACCTTGTAACAGAGAAAGAGAAAGAGATTCAAGATTTAGAAGCAGAGCTTGAATATTACCGAACCAAATATCCAGATGAGTCACTTTTGGAGAATGTTGGGGAGTCGACTTCAAATGCATGCACTACTGACAGTGAGAAAAGTAGAGGTGCTCCTAACAATTTTAATGCCTTGGATGAAAACACTAAGATTGGTTCACAAGATCAATTGTTAGTGATTGAAGATGAAAGGAAATATATTTCTGAGTGTCTAATTAATCTGGAGAAAAAGCTCAGTGCTTTCTGCTGCAATAAAGCATACTCAGACTTGACGAATGGTCATCAATCAGAAGAGCAAGGGCAGGATTTATGTGAACCGAAGCTGTTTGAAAGGAGTCAAGTGAAGATAGAAACTGATGAGAATGGCATAATATCAGAAAAAGTTGGCTTCATTCCCACAGGAAGCCATCAGACTTTGATAAGACGTGCTCATTCTTTTAAGAAGTCCAAGTCTGCTGGAGCTGAACAAGGAGCAGTTATGCTTAAGGAAGCTGATATTGTAGCACTTGCTAATGAGGTATCCAGTCTTAGTGAGAGATTACAAGCACTCGAAGCTGACAAGTCTTTTATTGAGCATTCTATCAACACGCTTAAAAATGGAGAGGAAGGCCTAATACAGGAGATCGTATCTCACCTCCGAGAATTACGGAAGATTGGAATCAGAAGGAATGTTAAATTTCACCCACTAGAAAGGTTAGTGCTTTATTGACATTCTTCGTGTCATGTATTATGTCTGTTTTCTTGCATGAGAGGATTTGCCCATTAGTAAAAACCTTGAAATTGTGTTGGGACCAACTTACCTTTATGTTGATCTTGAGTTCCGCTATAATCTTGAATCTTTCCTAGAAATAGATGTGTTCCCCTATAGCTAGGAATCTATGTAAGTATTTACGTATCGATATTATGTGTTGCTTATCCTCTGCATTTAGCTGCACCCTGTTTCTGGTTTTTAGAGAACTCTGAAATCTGAAAAAAGGGGATTCTTAATGTATGTGCTTTACCTGGTACTGAGCTCAAAGATAATTTTTTTAATTGTAAAAATCAAAGTTTTGAACACAATTCTTCAAGCTTAAGTCAAATGCCTTGTAATGGCCTGTAGTCTGTGTTTTAAAATTACACCTTCTGTCCCTTTTTATTTTCTTTTTCTCTTTAACCATAGGGCAGAATACTTTAATGATTATAAAAATTTGATGAAATGAACTTGATCTTGGATAATAAAGCTCAAGCCGTGGGCGCATTCAGTCGTGCTTTGGTGAAATACTTTTTATCACATCTCAAAATTTGGATCTTTGTTGTAAATTTTCTAAACTCATTTCTGGTCCTTTTACATTTGTATTCAACTGTTTAATTTCTTCCTTGAAACTAATCAATTGTCAATTTGTATTTCTTCAACGGTGCAATCATCTCCTACTAGCCTTTTTGTAAATTTTAATGAAGCTTTGACTCTACAGACTTGTTGTATGGCACATGGTAATAGATTAGCTAGTGCTGAGTGGTTTTGCATTACTTTATTTAAAATCATTCTAAGATAGTACCCGTGACTATTAATCCCCGATCAAAAGGAATTTTCTTTACTCAACATTTTTTGCAAGTATTGTTGAAAATGGCACTTAACTTGTCTCTTATATATCTTTCAGGTAATCATGGCAGAGGTTCTAATATGCTCATCTGACCAGTGACCACTATAAACATTGCAGCGGAAGCGTAAGCCAGTGTCTTTCATATTTCAAAAATCAAAAGAATTGAATCACTTGTTCACTTCTGGGGCGTATATATCTCAGCTTGAAGAGTTCCATCTTGCAACTAATTTATTTGTGCATAGTTTTTGTTTTTCCATTATATTAATTTCTTCTTATCGGTCTTTTTGTTGTTATGATGATAGTATTGAATGTATGATAACTATGAATCATACTCTTGTTACTAGATTTTAGAAGTAAAAGAGGAGATAGAGAGCTGTTGTATACTTGCATTGTTTAATTTATGGGTGTAAAGTAAGCAGAATACATAAAGGTTGCCTGCTTGCCAACCTTGTATATCAACACTATTACGAATACACAGAGAGTTTAGTTTTGCACAAATCTGTTAATGTTGTATTCATGATGTTAAACTTCTACTGCTCCACGAACAGCGGGCAGGGGAACAGAGGAAGTTTCTGTTGCTCTGAATGTGAAATATCAGTCTCATTTTGGGACTACGGCTTTGTTGTTGTTGTTGTTTTTGTTGTTGTTTCAGTCTCAGAATTAGCAAAGAACGTTCAAAAGTCCAGCTTTTCTTTCATGAATAACCCCAATCCCAAATTCCCAATCCCCCTTATCTAGTCAGGTGTCCAATGTGAATTGCTATCAAGATATCAGATGTGTAAATCTCAAGATTAACCTATTTTTCTTTGTTGACTGTAATATCATATCTTTAGTTTTTACACAATTCTGGTTTCATAAACAGGGTAAGAAGAGATTTTATTAGATAGGTCATTTGTTATTATTTTCAGCTGTATATGAGGAAGATGATAGAGATAGGGATGTAGATATTGCATTTATTATGACAAAACTTGAAATAAAATGAGGATATCAATATTGAATGATTGTAATCTCCAACACTAATCTAAGGGTTCGTTTGGTATTATTTACTATTTTAAATTTTTTGTTTTTTAAAAACTGAAAACTGATTTCAGTTTTTAATTCTTTGTTTTTTAAACTGTTTCCATTCCACCAGTTTTGAGTTTGCAATTAACTCTTATACTATTTTTTTTTTGACAGAAACTCTTATACTACTGCTATTATTTATAGGTATTACTTCAATCAACTATTACCCTCTCTACAAAAGCAGAATCACCATTTTCTATCCCCTCTCTTCAATAAAACTCAGTCACCATTAACAATGGTGATAGTAAGAAGATTTAAAAATTGCCCGTATTCGATTTTAAAGCGGGTTTGGGCCACACCCGCAAACCAAGAGAGAGAGTCTACTTTACAAGTCCAAGGAGGTTCCATCCCAAAACCATATGGTAATAGAAGGAGTAGCCCCTTAGCCTTATAAAATGTTAAAACTCTCTCTTCTTCAACCAATGTGGGACACTTACATGTGGTGACACTTGAGATGTTTATTATTCAACACTACTCCTCACATGTAAGGTCCCTTTAACTCAAGGATCACTTGATCCAATTCAATTTTTCCCAGAATACTTAATGCCATTAAAAGTCCCAAACTTTGGGCCTAGCAATATACTCAAACCATTAGAGGTCCCATACCGTGGGCCTGACACTAATACCATATTAAATGCGGGTCTGGGCCGCACCCGCAAACTAAGAGAGAGAGTCCACTTCACAAGTCCAATGACGTTCCATCCCAAAAACATATGGCAATAAGAAGAGTAGCCCTTTAGCCTTATAAAGTGTTTAACTCTCTCTTTTTCAACCAATGTAGGACACTTACATGAAGTGACACTTGAGAGGTTTATTATTCAACATCTGAAAATTTACAATGGCAATAGTACCAACTATAAAAAAATTTCCCATGGTGATGAGATTAAAAATTCATACTTTATCAAAAACCAAATCTCATCACCACTTAGGCGATTCTATACAATGGCGATAGGACTGAACTTTCATGAACCCAGATACAAGAACCCAAAATATATTGTATAAAAATTATACAAAGAACAATTATAAATTCAGAAAAATTTAAGAACAAAAATAAACAATTTTGATTAAAGAAATTCAATTTCACCAACAAAAACATAGTAAGAACAATGGGGAGAAATGTATGGTAGTTACAAAGGAAATTAAGATAAAAGAGAGAAAAGGCATTGTAATTGCTTGCTCTTAGGGCTTGAGGAAGAAAGATGAAATATTAAAGGAGATATGAGCGTGGTTTATTTTATTTTATTTTATTTTATTTTATTTTGAATAAAAGATATGAGCGTGGTTTTTGATAGTGTTTAATTTTTTAAAAAACAAAACATCAAAAAATGCTTTGAAATGTTTTAGGTTTTTTGTTTTAGTTTCTCTAAAATTAGTGTAAAGTTGTTTTTAAAGCTATTTTACCCAACACTGTTTTGTTTTATTTTAGGAGAAAAAAACAAAAAAACCAAAAACGTCAATGATGCCAAATACACCCTTAAGCTATTAGTACTTCGTATGATGAAAAAATTGTTATAACACTTTCAATTACATACACTACTTCAAACCTACCACAAGTACCACCTCAAAACAACGCACTCTTTTATATTGAAAAAACACAAATTCTCTAAAAAAACAACAACAGGTGTACGTTAATTTATTATAAGACAGGTTTAAGTTATCTTAAAAGTATTTAAAATTACCCTTTATACTTAAAAAGTTATTATTTTTCTAATAATAAATTTCATCTTACAAAAGAACTTATTATGTACTAGATTAATCATAATAGTCTTTATAGTACGTAATCATGCATCTATAAGAAATTACATATTAAAATAAAATTCAAACCAACGACAAATTAAAGTTACCCTTTAAGGGGTTAAGAGCAACTCCAATGGTTGTAGCTAGGGACTTGCAATTCTTAAAAGTTTGTAGCTACTAGTTTTTTCATTGGAGCTAAAAAATACAATTAGTTGTCCAAGCTAATTTGCTTGAGAAAAAAAAAAATTCAATTTTTTTGAAGATTAATATATTAAAATAATTAAATTTATAAATCTAACTGAGAAAGTCAAGCTTATTTAATTAGCAAGCTATTAGATAACCATTAGGACACAAAATAGCTACAAAGAGGATTCGCTTAAAATTATACGTGGCATACCAAGTTAATTTAACGATTATCTTATCATTGAAGATGCTCTAAATTAGCATAAAAATAGTTAAAGTTACCCTTAAATGGATCGTCTTACAATAAAATTAATGTACACTCGCCTTATACTACCTCTTGTTTCGGGGTTTTCTGATGTCCTGCGGGAGAGTTACAATTCCGAGACTGGAACCGAACGCCTGTACCTGCAAAATAACGGAGACTCCTGTGCGCTCCGCCTCCAACGGTCAAGTTAGTACCTGATTAAGGAGTAATTAATGCAGAAATTAAAGTGATTTGGTCTCTCTAGGTGAGTGTGTTTAATGTAGGTAATCTGCTTTGTTAGCGAGATCAGCCGGTTATTATGGTGTGTAATTAATGTGTTTTTTTCCGTAATGTTTTTGTTCTCTTTTTTTGTAATCCCCCTTAATGAGGATTAAGGGAGGTATTTATAACCTTGGGAAACGTGCCCATCCTAGGTTTAGGTAAACCTAGGGCCGATTGGGCTTCCCTCGGAAGTTGGGCCTGGGTGGCCGGTTTCTCCATTAGGCATGGAGTATGCCACATGTCTTGACATAACAGGTCCAAGGTGGACAAATAAGCGCCTGCCACGTGGGAAGCCCTGGCTGTTCCAACTGGGGGACACTTGGCAGGACCTGATTGGTCCACGTGGCGCATTCCGATTGGTGGGAGCAAAATCCCCTAATCATTTGCCCCTCACAGGTGGCACGTGATTGGTCACGTGTTACCTGTGACAGGTGTCGCACTGTAACAGGCGACGGCCTGCTACAGGTGTCAGTCGGCGAAAGGACGAGAGATTTTCCCGCCCAAATTTTGAATTCTGAAAGTGACCCTTCGCCTTCTCACTTCGCCTATATAAGGGAGAGTTGTCTTGAGTCATTTTCACACTTTGAGAACTTTTTGAGAACATTCGGACCCCTGAACTTGCTCTGACATTTTGGACCTTTTCTGCCTACCGCCTGTTCTGACAAGCCGACTGCACCGGATTTCCAGAACTTCATCAACCGTCACTCGTTCAGGTAACTCAGTTCTCTTACTCTTAATTTTCTTTTTATTTTCTGAAATGGCACCACGGAAGTACACGACACGACCTAGGTTAGTGATCAGCCGGTCACCGGGGACGGCTGAATCTAGGACTAGGAGTGCCGCCTGCCCTTTTCCGGACCCATCTTTGCCCTTTATACAAAGTCCGACTGTATCTGTGTCTATGCAGAGCAGGATGGCCAGAACGAAAAAGACAGCTAGGATCTCAAATTCAGACGGCTCCTCCCACAGGGTGCCGCTTAGTGAAACATCTGACCAGGCGCCAGATGTGGAAGTGAAACAAGGCGGCCTGGATGCCGGCAATTCTGTGGGGGGAGTCATAGTGACCCCTTCCCATTTAACAGTTAACAAATCTGCTCCTTTTCAAAGAGAGGAGGCGGGCCCCTCCGGGAGAGGGGAGGAGTCATCCTCTTCAGACTCGTCGGAGGACGATTCCGAGTCAAGCTCTTCTGGCCATGCTTCTTTGGGTACAGAAGAGAAAAACAGCCGCCTGCAAGAGGCGAGACTTTCTCACGCAGTTGAGAAGGGGGACAATTGGGCGGAACCATCCGCCTCTTACCGAGAGCTAAATACCCCCTACTACTGCACGGTACCTCGGAGCCGAATCACAGCCATGCAAGAGAAAGTGGAGAGCTTTATTGCAAACCACACCATGGGCCCCGACTTTCTAGTGTTTGTGCCGGATCCAGAAGACACAGTCGTATGGCCGGCTGGTTCCAGTTATGAAAGCGCCTGCTTTGGCTGCTACGAGGCGGCCATCAAGGCAGGGCTTCGCTTCCCATTACATCCGGCTGTTCAGCGGATTTTGGATGGGTATGAGTTGGGGTTATGGCAGTTAGCCCCAAACTCCTGGGTCAACGTACTCGGCTATGTGGCCGGGTGCGAACTGCACGGGGTGGAGCCGAGCTTCGAGGCTTTCGCCCATATGAACTATCTCAGCCGGACCCCTAAGACAGGCGGTATCGGCTGGTATCAATTGACAAGCCACAGGGGCTACCTCATGACAAGAGGTAAAGCAAACAAGTGGAAGGATTGGCGGAGCACCTTCCTCATCATTGAGAGTTCAGACATTGAGCAGAACAAGCGCTTCAATAGGTGGAACAGGAATCCACCCCTTCTTGCAGGCGGCCGTAGCATGCCGCCTGTTCCCCCCAAGGCTAAGAAATAGATCCTTGATAAAGGACTCTTTAAAGTAGAGTCGAGGGTCGACTCTACTTCAGGGGTACGAGAGCAAGTACCCCTGCACTGCGTCCCGAGCTTCAAGTGGCTCTATGACGAGTACTTTTTGGCCGCCTGCGGCCTCAGCAGTCGGTGCTCAAGAGGTAGTCGGCCTGTCGAATACTCTGTTGTTCCATACATTTGTTGTTTATCTTTTATTAAC